GGCTTGGAGTGCAAATGCCCAGGTGTTAACCCCCCTTACACCTTTGAGACACTTTATGTACATTTCACCCTTAATTTGTCAGCCTTTTGTTAAGTGTTTTTTTATGACATATGCCCTGCTTTTAGGTACCAGATATGTGATCTAGTGTGAACTGCAGTACCAAAGTAGGTAAAACTTTAATTCTGTGACATCAGATCTGAAGTATTTCCATTTTATTGGCTGAAATGTCTGAAGCTGTTATCACATGATTTTCGTACCTTTCTACGGGGCTATATTGTTTGTTTTGGTTGATGAATTTGGTCACTACCTGTCACATGCTTGGGGGACATTTATTAAAACTACAGGAAAAACCACATCACCACCAAGAAATAAACTCCAGACTGTATTATTTCAACCTATTGCGCAGTGTAAGAAAAAAAAAAGCCCTGCAGTCTCCTTTTATAAGGTCAGGATCAGGGGTGTAGCAAAACAAGACTGTTAGAGACCCCCTGCATGGGCGGCTTTAATTACAGCTGAGGAAGTGGCGCAGCTTAACGCGAACCACCCTGCTTGGCTGTTACATCCCATGACTCTGAATGAAAGCAGAAAAGCAGTTTAATATCTTTTAATGTGCCTGTGTGTGAGAGAGTCGCACGCTAGCAGTGTGTGGCAAAGGCTCAGTGCAGCATATGGGCAGGCGCGTCTGCATTGCCTGTTAAGCAGAGGGGACATCAAAAGGTGGGTTAAACCCCCCCCCCTGCACACCCCATTGCCACCCCTCACTATAAATCCCACCCCAAAAGGAGCCATTTATGGGACAATAAGAGCCCATTTATGGGCCCCAAGAAAATGAAGGCAATTTGAAGGTGTAGGATGAAAGATGACCTGGGCTTTCTTGGAGCTAGCTCTGTCTGTCTTCACTACTTTCTACTAAGGAGGACTTCAGCACAAAATAATATATTTTACTTCCTATACCAAGCTTTCCTTGCAAAATTGGTCAGCAGGTTTCCTTCTTGCCTATGCAAGAGCATCACGTGTTGTAATTTTACCACACCTTTAGAAATCACTTGTGGTTTCTAAGATTTCCGTCTGCACGGATGACCTCTCCTGTTCCCCAGAGGTCATAAAATGCTTTCAGTTGAATACATACATAAAGACAATGGGATTAGCAGCTATCTGGACATGCACACTCACACACGCATGTAGGGGCACACAAGACATGGATCGGATCACTTCTGCTTCAGATTTACTCAGGTGTGATGAATTTGCTGGAATACTGACACGAGACGTTTGGGGGAAATCAGGGAAAGGCCTGTGCCATGCCCCGACCATTCAAGCATACACAACAGCTCTCTGGACTGTAGTGTGTTGCTGATGGATGTAACAGCACTTCAGGCAGAGGACTTTTTATCTGTCTCCAGGCAGACCTTTCTTCCTTCAACAACTAAACCAACAGTGCATTTCTTCAAGGTTGCCCAACAATGAGTCAGCTATCTACATCATGCCTGGAAATAACTTTCTGAACGAATCGCTCCTCTCCCCTTTTTCTCTCTCCGTTGTTTCCCCCTTTATTCCTTTGGTTTAATAGTCTGTAATAGTTACCAAGTATCATTAAGGCCAACCTCTGTGGCTTCTAACAGCGCTGTAGGCAAGCCAAGTGTTTGTTGTCGGCATTTTATTGGCTTCCAGGGAGGAGGGTTGTTGTTTTTCAGTGTAATCTTGGCACGCCAATAAGAAGGTTTCAATAAAAGCAGCTGCTTTCTTATGGCAGTTAAGCCGCTCTCCTGCCTTCTTTTCCCCTTTTTGCAAGTGTGATAGTTGGACTACAATAGGAGCTACCTGTAGAAAATACTTTAAGTGTCTTCATTTTTATCCTAACACATCTACAGAACTTCTGAACTCTTTCTTCTGTGCACAAAAAAAATCACTTCTTGCTCGGATGCTTTTTATGTTTCTCTGTTTTCATATGTTACATTTCCTTAGCAGGTTGCTGAGGTTTTAACTGGTATGCTGTGAGTAATGCTAGCTGGTTTAGCTTGACCACACTGCCCCCTTTAGGGAACAACCTGCTGTTGCAAATCAACAAAGCTGGAGAAGCAAAGAGGCAGAGGTTCGTCAGGACTGGGCTATTATTATGGGTTATAAATTAATTAATTAAAAGTTAATTGTTTCAGGCCATTTCAGAATTACGAGTATGTACAGAGGTGAACAAATCAGTAGTGCAAACTGCCATTGTTTAAAAAAACGTAGATTTATATTACTACTACTATGTTTTGATCCTTTTTGAAACACTAGCTTTTACATTATATAGATTTTTTTAAATCTAAACAAAATGTTTCTCTTTTTCTAAGAACTAACCAGCTACTGTCAAGGATCTCGAATTAACTAAAAAGCAGTATTTCAAAAGAAAAAGTGATATTTTTCTTTGTCCTTTTTCATCCCTCACTTGTGATTAAGTTGTTGATGTTTGTTAAACAACATAACAATCTGAAAAGAAGTGATCTTACTTCACTATACCATGCGGTTTCTAACAAATAAATCTTTATTTGTGTATAAAAGGACAGAAATGACACAGGTTGAAAGTCTGAATCTAGGCGAAACTCTCCATGTATTGCTTTCTTCAACAAGATCTCTCATTTTTCTTGGCAGTGAAGTGTGATTTGCACCACATTCCACAGTTGAAAGGTATAGGAGCAAAGAGTCCCTATGTGGCCAAAGGAGTTCCTGTCTCTCATGTAAAATTAAAAAGCACTCGGACAAACATTATTGAACCTTTGCTGGAGCGTGAACGTTCCATGATGTCTGGCTGATCCTGACACAGGTTCAAGTTTCCTCTCTTGGTTTCTCGAGGGTTTTGATTTTTTTTCTCCTCCATCAATCATCCCCTTATTTTCAAACTTTCTAATCGTTATTTCAACGTGCAGAGGCGGCAGGAGTCCGGTCTTTTTTTAACATACTGGCTCTGTATGGAGGGCAATGTCAGTCTCTCTGTTTGTCTATCACTTTTGTACAGTCATATCTAAACAACCATTGGATTTGTGTCCCTCGTGGGATACATTTCAATTACCTTTGTGACCTCCGCACCTTAGACATCATCAACAGGTTAACGTATTCTTCAATTCTCAACAACTTCAGCTGTAAATTGTGTTTACTGATAGTTAGCAAATGTTAGCATGCTAAGATAATAAACTAGAATAGTTAACATGGTAAAAAATTATACAAAGTTAGCATTGTCGCTGTTAGCATGTTGCCATGCTAGCAATTAGCTCAAAGCATGGTGCCTAAGTAGCCTACAAGGTCAAGCATAAATGCTAGCATTGGGTAGACTCTTTTTTTTTATGAGATTACAGTTTGTTAAGGATTATTTCTATGGGTTTTATCAGTTTTGCAATACAGTCCCATTCATCATGAGGTAAGTAGGCAGCGTTGTGGAACACTAAAACCTTTGTATGTCCACATGTACGCATTAGCTTCATATCTACTCTGTTTTTGAACCCTTAGTTTGAACCCTCTGCTATCAGCCCCCTGGGAAGTGAGTGACAGATTTTATATGCTATAACACATGTAACTGATATGAATTAACATGACTCATCGAGAAATGACACATCACTTACCAGAAATTCCCTCTTGAGACTTCCCTCTGAGTCAAAAGCAACTTTTATTTTCCTTTAATCCAAGCAGCCTTTTGACATAAACACAAGTTAATTTCCGTCATCTTTGGACCGTTCAGCTGATTAAGCACAAGTTACATTTGACAGGTCCAATTGATTCTACCAAAGTCATCAAAAATGTTGTTTTCATCCCCCGTTTTCACAGGCATTTACTGGTCAATCTCATAGTCGACCAGTCCTGAGAGGTCTGATCCCTGAATGACAATTATGTTCTGGTCACATGAAGTGCACCAAGGAGGAAAAGCTCTCTTGTTCTGCAAATTAACATTCATGAGTGCGTGCTTTCCAAGAAACAGCTCACATCAACCAGGTGTTGCCATTGTTGGAGCCATCTTTGCTAACAGCTGCTCCGTGTAAATCCAGCACCCCATCACTTACAACACTGTAGTTTGGCCTTTAGTTGTTATCATCTGTTTCTTTCACTGGCTGTTTTGCAGGCAGAGATGATGGGATAAGTCTGTGTGACCATTTAAGGCTTTTGAAATGGAAACGTTCAGGCTTAATACCTCTCTTTGCATGTAGCCAAATCATACTGTATGTAAAGTTTCCACGTTTGCTCATATCAACCTGCAAAATACCCTTGAGGGGCTTTAAGTATCTGTGGGTCATGAGGCGGGGAAGGAATAATACTGTAGCAAATGCAAGAACATGGGACAAAATGAGTCATCCGTTAAGAGCAAAATCATAATTTCTAGTAAAATAACTCAAGAAAACATAATTAATCCTGCCTTCGGTGACTTTTTCCCAGTCTAAATGACGCAAAATATGTGTTTGAAAGACAAACAATGAGGTTCTGCCTTTACTGGCGGGGGGCATGGATTTAAACAGAGCTGAGGGGGTTTCCTAAGCCAAAGACAGTTGGGAACCAATGGTTTATATGACAATATAATCATGGTCATATGGCTATGACCTCCCAAAGGCATCCAGAGGTTATCCATGATTCACTCAGATAATGAGCCTCATCACTTAAGCTGTCACCCGCTCTCCTCCGAGGCCCGGGCTAATATCTGCAGCCAGCAATGCATCGAGCGTTACATGAGCAGTAATCCCATGCAACGCTGACCACCATGATACATTACTGTAAGCATATGAATGATTAGATACTTATTCAGCATAATATTGAAGTGCACTGTACTGTGTAAGATCTGGAGCGAGTGGAGATAATTAAAGGGCTTTAGAGTCATAAGGGCCACTTCTAACTTATATCCATTAAAAATAAACACTTTTTCCTTAAAGTGCAGCTTGCGTTCATTTAAAGACTATTTGCTTAAGGGATCAAGGAAAAGTTACAAAGAGGTTTTTTTATTCTCCATGAGACACCAGGCCTTGAATTTAATCATTCAACTCTTTAAAAACACTTACGAAAAGACAATTGTTTTTTGGTTCCTGAGTAATACAAAAAAATCACGATTTGATATCAACTAACATACCTCAAAGCTTCCAAAACCATTGGCAGGACAGCAAGCTATCTTTGGTCGAGATCAGTTCTTTCCTGTACAGTTTTTATTGCAGATGACTCTTTGGTACTTTCTCCATCATCATCCTCTTCGCGTTCTGCTTTTTCCTGAGTTCTTTGATAGTGTTTATGAGAGGCAGTCAGGGCTCAGTGCCACCTGTCCAGGCAGGTGAGCTCTACAGGGACACAGTCTGCGCTGAGAGAGGTCGGAGCCGGCACAACTGAACAACAGAGGATCCTGCTGAAGGCCACACTGTTGACCCCAAGGGCTGTAGGCAGGAAACAGGTGGTTGACTTCCTGTCTGGTGCTGGAGCAGCCTATCTTGAGTCTATAACATGGGAAATGAAAGCATATATATTGGTGTATTTAAAGCATTTTAGTTATCGAGTTGCTATTAATTTGGTCTGATATTCTGATTAAGGAGCATCAATACTGAATGCTAAAATAAGTTGATTAACAGCTGTATAGGGCACGACATAACGCACTTGCATGTGTTTTACAGTCATCTCACATACAAAGTCCCTTACGTTGGTTATTTTTCTCTCTATTAAACTGTCTTTTTCCCCAACCTGTACAGTGGGCAGATTCCTTACCTGGCGAATGCAGCAGGAGTGTTTAGGTGGTGAAACAGAGCCGGCTCACACACGAGGGAGGACCGTCGACACACACTTTCGCATGACTGACCCAGGGGACCCAGGTGCACCCTTAGAGCACATTCTGGTGGCCAAGTAGGAAGAGATTTCCTGCAAAAATCCTGGAGGTATTTGAGAGGAAGAAAGTTGAACATTTGAATCAATTTACAACTAAATGGTTTTCTGAAAACATCTTCTAATGTCACAAAAACTCCCTCTTGAAGTTCAGCTATTGTACAGATTTTTATTAAGCCGTGTCAGGAATCTATTGAGGAAAAAAGAGCACCAAAAAAACTGCAACAGGTCTATCCTACACTGCTAAATCTCTGTACCTGGTGTGCAATGTAATCACGAACCCTCTCCAGCATTCCTTCACATGTGAACTCTCGGGGAGTGAATGGCTTCACCTGCAAAAACATACACATGCCCTTTTACCCTGCTACTGCCACTGAAATGTATAGGATTATAAGGTGTGGGGTTGAATACATGTGTAAACAGTAAAACTGCTTCTTTTCAGGTCACCACCTCTGTGCGTAAAATGGCTCTGACGGCCTCCCGAACTTCAGTCTTGTTGGACACATCCACAGTCCACACGTGGGGCTTGCCGATTAATTTCTCGGCATAAGGGTGCTGGGAGGAGATCTGTAATCCAAAGTTAATTACTCTCTTTAGATTTAAATATTGGATGTGCCATATGTGTATTCAAATCTAGAGTTTGAGGAGTAACCTACCTGTCTTGTGGTGGGCTTGCCTTTGTAGAAGTCATTGTTTTCTGATGAGTGTGGCGGGTCAAATCGGGGCTGAAGGAAGACACACCCCAGAGCTATTGCCTCAATTGGAGCTGGACCCTCATAGGGGAACCCAAGACCTACAAACACCTGAGAGGGGAAGCAGCAGATAACCTTCAAATAATGTTCCGATTTAGTTGCTTCACCTTTTTATATATGTTCTCTTATCTGACCTTGGCTCCACGGAGAAGTCGTAGGAAGTGTTCCTGAGTCAGTAGGCCGTGGTTTCTGATGAAGCTGGGCAGATTTGATGTGAGTCCTGGAGGCTGATAGACTGTTGCGTGGGTCTCCAGCTCTTCACTGATCACCTCCACATACTCAGATTTACCCTGGTATATACACACACATACATAACATACAGGACACAAAGTATCTTAACAACAGCATGTACAAAATGACAAAATGTGTCTTGTTGAAATCTTCACTAAAACGGTGAAGAACCTGGCTTCTTGACATGCTTACAACTGATTTTCTCCATACAGATGCTTTCCATATTGTTCATTGTACCTTCCACATGTAGTCCTGTTTGCCGTAGACGACTGCTATCCTGTTTTTCCTGTTGGCGTCCGACTCCAGCTCTTCCTCCTTCACATCCTTCACTGCCTTTTCACTCACAAAACCCAGGAAGGAATTATCAGGAGTATGAGCTAAACAGACAGAAAGATAGAGGACATCATACTCAACGTCTATGGTCTGAACCCATGCACACATTTAAAACCCCGATCACAAAATTAAAGCTAGCTAGTGCACACGGTTTTCCAATAGTATAGTATAACTTTACTTAAAAGTGTCCTTATTTTACAGAAAAACCTAATTCAAAACAATGAATGCCTTTGCACCCTAAGCAGCAGTGTGGAAAGAGTATCAGCAACATTACAGACAAAACACAACAGTAGAAAAATTGTTAAGATTCAAATTCTGTGCGAGAGGAAAAACATGCTGTGAAGTGTATAAATCAGCTGGTAAAGGAAATGAGAAGTCGAAATATATGAGAGGTTAACGTCTTGGCTGTTTGAACAGGCAGCTGACACCTGACACACTAAGGAAGGTGTGAAAGATGAGTATTTACTTTACTAGGAATGTGCTGGCAAAGGTGTGTGTGGACGTGTGTGCAAGCATCACATTGAGTTGTAAAACGTGTGTGTGTTGGGGAGGTGTGCGGGATATGTCATTCTCTCCTTTCTCAACGTTTAAAGAGCCAAATCTCCCCCTCGTTCACCTGTACAGCAGCACATTATTTCCTCCTTGTTCTTTTTCAGCTCCATTTCTCCCCACTTGTCTCTAACACCTGTCTGGTCTCACTATCAGATTAGCAGAGCCATGCATCGGCACACTGATACGATCAAACTCACGCAAAATATGTGGGGGTTTGACAGGAAGCTGGGAAGGAATCGTTTCTTTTGCTTTCAATGTTTGTGCTGCCTGTTTACCGTTCTGGTTCAACTGCTTGTCTCCAATTGACTATCTTCCTCTCCTCCATTTCAAAACAGAAGCATAAACACACCCGCTCTTTTCTCAAGCTTTTTTCCTTTTTTCCTCATGTCTTTGTTTCTCTCTTTCTGCCCCTTCCCCGCCATCAGCTGACATCCATCCCTGTCTCCGCCTCAGCAGGACAAATAAACAGTGTTTCAGGCTCTCGGCCCAGTGTGTCCAGCTTGTGTCCGTCTCTGGCAGGGTGGGAAAGATGACATGGAGAGGTGTTGGAATGAAAGCTCTGTCTGGGCACCAAGTTTATTTGACCTCAGCTATTAATCCTCCTCTCACTGTGAAGATGCTTGGAAGGGTGTATGTGAAAGATCAGAGCTGCAAATGTGTGTATTAGGTAGTGCATATCTGAATTGATTGTGGTCTCACACACAAATACACATGCAGACTTACGGAACATGGTCATGTACTGTAGGGGCTGCAGACCCCAGCTGCCCCACAGGGTTTTATATCCATGACTGCGTGCATAACTCCCCAGGTTAAAGGCTGGTTCAGTGCCAAAAGAGTCCAGGATTCTGAAGCGACATCTAAAAATAATTTTAAATAATTAGTAAATCACAAAATGTATCTTTCATAGATAAACACCAGTTTTCTACAGTTGCGTTAACAATTTAAAATGTAACCTCTTTCACTTTTGGCAGGATATATATTCAGCGGCCTACAAGGATGTGGTGATATGTATTTAAGTATTTTTATCCACCATTAAATGTCTTTATCCCAAATACTTTTAAACACATGTGTACTGTAGCTCATTGTACATTTTCTAACTGCCACTGTAAACTAAAGATGACATTTTATTTAGAGAATAGATAACTGATTAACATTATTGATTATAGAAAATTGTGGTCATACTTGTAATGCAGGAAAGCCAGTCCCATGGCGCCTTGAAGGTGAGCGAGGCCATGGTAGTCAGTGTAGATCAGGTCAAAGGTCAGGGGCCTCTGGATTGGACAACTGCCTCGGCCTGGCGCAGCCCCTATGAGACTGAAACAACCACAATAAACACACATCACAGCGCTAAGCACTACATCGTATTTCTTGTCAAAGTATTTGTATATGACAGTGGTGCTGACCTGTGGAGTTGTTGCTGTGAGGTGCTGAAGGTTAGGTTGTGTCCCAGGATTGTCAGGGAGGCACTGAGGTCGGCCCACTGGACCAGCTCCCCCAGAGGACCCCCCGTCTCCACCAGAGCCTCGAAACGCTGGCCAGCACTCCCCGCTAGGGCCCCGGGATAAAGCAGCACCTGGAGGATGGGAGGTAAGGGCCGTTTTAGTGCCAACATAAACTTGTAAACATAAATTGTTACGTTAATTATGCTTGTAATACTGCTTAGAAAAATGTAGGTTTGCATGTTTTCATCCTTTTTCTTTTTTAAGCATGACTATTGATATCTAATAGCTCACTTCACAAGACATGTCTTGTGACATTCTTACTTCACAAGACATTTCCTCCCCTAAAAAAACAGTCAAGTGGAAGAAAGGGTAACCACTTCTTACTATATTGATGTGAAGTGAGTTTCAACTAAGTGTGAAAAGTCGTTTTTTTTAGAACATTTTATTAGAAATCAGTATCTACACGGAAGGCTTTTACACATTTTGAGCACAGACGCTAAAACATATGTTGTGGTAATGTCTTGCAGGTTATACCTTCATCTGGGTGGAGTCAGTCTGGTTGCTGCTCTGTCTCATCCTCACAGCAGCCTGTTTCCATCGCTCAGACATCCTCTCCACTCTGGACCGGATGAAGGTTACGGCAGGACCGCTGTTGTTCCTGATGGCCGCATGCAGCGGGCTCAGAGTTGTACGTATCTCAGCCTGTGTGCAAAGTGTGTACATCTCTTAGAAATAATAGTAGTAGTAGTGTTTTAGTTTTTCAGTGGATCATGAGAGGAGACACTATAGTTGGTAGTGTAGGTACGATACAATAGGTACAATAAGGTAAAAAAATGTATGTAAAGAAATGTTTTAAAAGCCAAATAGCCCGTAATCTCAAAATGGACTAAAGCTTGAGAAAATCAACAATTTTAGCCCATAGTGTCTTGCCTTATTCTACATTAATAGTACAGTTGCATAAACACGCTGTGGTTTTACCTTCTTTGTATAGGAGTGATTTCTCTGGTGCCATGGCAGCGCAGAGTGGTTTCTTCCAAGACGAGGGGGACAAAAGTCTTCTATTTGGCTGAGGTATGTCAATATGGAGCAGGTGGTGCCATCCACCCCATAAAAGGCATAACAGGGGTCTGACTGCCATCGGGCCCGCAGGAACTGACAGAGAGACGGATGTTAAATCAGCCAAAATAACAAGGCACACTTTTAACACCATACAATATTTACATGGCATCTTGTAATACCCATTATTTTCAAATCCAGCTCATATACTGGGGACTAAATATTAAACTCTAGAGGTAAACACTTCAATACGACTTTAACAGTGCACACACAGAGCCATTAAGTTCATGCTACCACACTTTCTCACCTCCACTTTCTCCGCACACACCGGATATGCACGATCCGTTGGCACCTCACACTTCTCATTGGGCCCTACGGGTGAGATATTAGCCATCACGCACACAGTGTTTCTGTTCAGTTTTTCATTTTCAATGCATCATTATTCCACCATCCTGGCTTTAGTAACAGAAAGCACATTGTGGAGTTGAATCAACGTGAGTAATGAAGAACAGTGGATAATAACTTTGATATACAACCTCTATACTGAAATGTTCACAGTGAATAGCAGCCATCACACAGCACGACGTATAGTGCTGCCATGCATGTAAGAGGCATGAGAGTAGAGGCAGTGTGTTCTCAGAGGCCCTTTCCCGTAAGCCCCCCACCATCTCTAGCCAATGTCAATCAACTGGAATGAACACACACGCTCACACACACCTGACCAACCTGCCTCCTACCAAACATAACCTTTTACAATGCCAGCCAAGGCCAAAATATACAGTCCTTAACTATGTAAAACAACGTAGTAAAACCGAAAAAAAAAGATAAGAAAACTCGGAGGCACAGTCGAGGTGTGAAAGCCTAAAAACAGTGATGGGCTGTATGAAAAAGTGCTCGCTCTGCAAAAACAAGAGTACGAGTAGACAAGTTGGTGAAAGGACTCCTGGGTAATTTGGTCCTATTTTATGGGTGTGAGGTAATGTGAGAGGTGGAGGGTAAGGGGGGGAAAAGACTGATGATGGGGAAGCGTGTGTTTGTGCATGCGGGTGGCGTGTGTGTGCATGTCGACAAGTGTGTTCCCTCATTTGCACGGCATGGTGTCTGTGTGGCCCATATGAGTTACCTTTTTGGGAAAGGATGTAAGCATGTAGACTCTCAACCCCACTGCCCACACACACGCACACACGCACACACACACACACACACACACACACACACACACACACACACACACACACACACACACACTTCCCCTCGCATGCCAACCAGGGTGCGTAACCCGGCTCTCACCTGACACCTCTCCGGAGGGTCGTAGTGTAGATGTAAACTTTTTTTTCTTCTCCCCACGGCCAGTTGATCGACACTGGCTCTGTGGGACTTGTTAAACTTCTATTCAAGGACTTCATCCCCCATAACCACCTGCACCCACTGCCCTTTAACCCCCCCATTCACACCCTCCATTATCACAGCTTGTTAATTTCACTGTGTGGTTAACCCTCCATTGAGGCTATGAACCGTGCATTTGGCTCCGAGTATCACGCTACCAGCGCAGTAAACCACAGAAAAGCTTGCAATTACTAAAGCTGCCAACATTCAGGGAGGGGAGAGTGTATATATTTGGTGTAGTCAGTATGTTAAAGCATATTATAGCTGGAATTAACCCGTAAGCCTCTAATTTAGATTGGGCAACACACTGCTTTTTGCAGTGCACCATGTCATAAAAGCTACATTTGGCTATATGTGTGGAAACACCTGCTTTCTAAGTCTAAATCTCACTCCTTGGACCAAGTCAGGCTTATTTAAACCACATAGATCCTCCATATCTGCTCAAATCTAATTATTTGGACATGACAAACAAGACATGACAAATCCAAACTAAACAGTTGGATACAAAACGGTCTCCTGAACTCTTCATACATACAGAGAAAAGTAGGTGTACTAGAAGCAGACCCTTTGCCTGTCTAATCCTTTTAGGTCCCTCCGTTTTTGCATTTTTATTCAAATTTAGATTTTTCTAATTTAAAATATTTGTTCAAAGCATCTCTGACACTGTAGAAAATGTATGTTTTGCATATAGGGTGTTGTTTGAGTGAATATGTTTTTTTTTGGCTTCTTATTGAAAGACTTGTAATATATGGTACATATGAGTATGCCACGCCACAATTGTCCAGTTAGTATTTTGATGATTGGTTACGTAACACACTTATATGTAGTATAATGTAGCCTCAGTGTGTTTGGACAGCGGGAGATATAATGGTTCTTTCTGCAAAAATGTATTATAAATTAACATAATGAGGTGACATAAAACTATAGGTTAGATTGTAAGTATTGTAGAAGTTACACAGTTTAGTCATCTATAGTACAGTCTGTAATGTACAAGTATAGCAAGTCATGGAAAGCAAGAGATCAACTAAGGGTGTCTTTCAACATCAAGGCTATCTGTATGCAGACATTAGTCACAATCAAAAAACCCTTATAGGAAAACATTTTTTAATTTCAGAACAATGAGAAGTGATAAGGTTCTGTGCTGAGCTTTACCTGTGTGTATAAGGGCTTCAGGTGGGGGTGGTGTGTTGGGCTGGTGGTGCTGGTGACGGCTGAGCTGCTCCAGCCTCATAGAGACTCTCTTCAGCTCCTTCTCCATCAAGCGGGCTAAGCCTAATTGGTCTTTTCTAAAGCTGGAAAACAAACCCACATGTAGTCACACTGCTACACAAACACTATAAGCTTCATTATCTGCGTATATAGGCTGCAGATGTTGTTGAATACCTCTGCAGTAACAGGCTGAGATCATCTCTGGTCAGCTGGGGGACATCCCTCTCTCTGCTCAGCCGCTGCACCTGAGTACTCAGAGCCTCCAAACGGAGAGCGAGGCGGCGGAAACCAAGACCGCGATGACCTGTGACATAAAGTACATACAACATGGCCTGTCATGTATGTACAGTATCGAATGTAACTCCCTATCATAATGTTTAAGCAGTAATACTGTGTATTATGTCATGGCAAATCGTGTTCTGAGGATCATTAAACAGCAGGGTTATGTACTGTAATGCTGTTTTCTTAGCCTGATCTGCTGAAAAACCACACAGCAATTATGGTTATGTGTATTTTCCATGTTCCATGCAGGGGGTAATGGCATATAGTCACATATAGGGAATTTTATTTAAGAACTTTTTAATGAAATTTGAACTGGAGCTTTATGGTCATCTCATGTTGCTTTGTGGTTTTAGAGGCAGCCCACACACACACACACAGACACACAGAGACAAACTCATACAGTATGCATTTGTTTTTGTGAATGTTACCATAGAAATAGATGGTTGAAAGCTTGAGCTAAAATAGCTGGCCTCCTATTCACTAACAGCACATTTACATAGATTTTCCTAAGGGTTTGTGCACCCTTAAAACGATGCGACATCTCTTTGCAGCCCCTTGTCAGAGGGAATTACCTCGAAGCAGAACTGAGACGTAAGCAGTTCAGTTTTCCTTGCCCTGAAGTAGTGTCCAATATTTTTACAAGGAAAATAAGACAATATTTGCTTTAATAAATGATAAAGTAACTTAATGTGAGAGAAATATGTATTTTTTCATACAGATTAACTATTTTTGCCTCAAGCAATAACAGTTGTGGGGATACATTTTCCAAGTCTGATCTTTGTTTTCTGTTCTATTTTTTTGTGTGTTTGGACTAGGTAAAAAAAAAATTCCTTCCTATATATTAGCTTTACTTCATCTATACAGAACACAATGTAGTGTTGAAGTTAAAGGTCGCCTATTATACTGTTTTTCATCAATATATTATAGGTCTCAGATATACCAAACAGATCATTGTAGTTTCAGCCCAAAAGTGCTGATTCTCTGTCTGTTACTTTAGATGAAAAATAAGGAGCCCCTCCCCACGCCCCTCTGAGAGATATTTGGTTAAAAAGAACACAATGGTGCTCTAGGAGGAGATTCAGGTGATAAGGTGTGGGGGGGGGGGGTTACCTTGGTTGGTGATTGGCTAATGGTTACACAAGCCAACAAATCGTTATGACATCATAAAGTGGCCAAAATCTGATCAGCTCATTTTCAGACAGGTTTTTATATAAATGGATCAGGACAAAAAGAGAGAGAATCTTTTTTCCTGAAACTTTCAGACTCTCTTTACACAGAGGGGACACATGTTGATGTAGAAAATACATGAAAAAGTGGATTTTGCATAATAGGTGACCTTTAAGCCTGTTGTTGTCTAAATGACACTCACCTGCCAAGACCTTTTTTCCACCTGTTTTTACTGATGTAAAGTAACTGAGAAAGATTATCCATGGCAAAAAATATCTCACTTGCATCTAAGGTGCATTCAAAGACAAGGGCTTCCAAATTTTACAAGACTCATTCGCAAAGCATACGGTTTTCCAAGGCCATAACAGATAACCCACCTGTTGTTTCTACTCATTGTAACTAATTCAACAAGCAATGTTAAATTAAAAGTTGACAGTAACCTCTTGTTTGTCTTGGTTTAGCTCGGATATGCCATCTAGTGTTAGTGTTCTGTTAGCCACATAGCTAGTTGCCAGCCTTCTACTCTGTTACCAGACATAACACTAAAAACAGTGAATGTGCATTTTAAGGCCTGCCGGAGGGTCTTAAATGAACCATATGAGATGGCAGATCAAGGGTGGCTTGATTGAAATATGTGTATGAGGCAAGGAGGACTGTTAAAAGACTTACGTTGGCAGTGAATGAGGAACATTGAGTGTTATATTTGGGGGGTTGCTGGTGATGTTTGGGTTGATTTGAGGTTAGAGTTTGGGTTTCCTTGGGGATTGAGCTTTAACTTGTGATACACAGTAAAATCCACCAGACTGGTGATGTCACTTTGTCTCTGTTTGCTCAGCTGACTCTCAGCATATCACTACTTAAACGCACCGGGACCCTATGGGCACAGACTTAATGAAAGATGAATGGGGGAGAAGAGGCGGGATCCTGTAACAACTTAATGCCAGTTGTGTGAGATAAATATATGATCACATCATTTAAAAACGTATAAAGGTATGAGCAGCTTATAAAACAATGTGTGGGAGGCTGTGAGTAGATGTGTGTAAAGCTCCTTTTTATGTTTCCAATATTTCCTTGTGTGTTTTTCTTTTTATACATATTTGTTTGTGTTGGAGGGAGCCTGAAATCTATGATATTATTTACCAACTGCGTCTCTGTAATTGTTGTGGACATGACAATTAAGGGAACTTGAAACCTGAAATGTGGGTGAAACTCTATTTTCAGACAGCATCCTTTTTTCCTGAAGCAAGCACACCAATTCAACTTGAATTATCTCATGTCACTTCTAGGGTTGTGGTGAAAAGGGTTGATTTTAAGATTGAATATAACATGTAATGGCTCGGTCAGACGGATAATGTTTCCCGCAGAATGCTTGGAAATAAGCATTTGGTCAGTTTGAGCTGGATTAACTGTGTGAGCTGACGCTTCCCCCATGTGGTCAATTTTCCAACACAACTACTGCTGGGTGGCTCTTTGTACACAACAACTCGTGGTGGGTCCCTCAAAGCACAGAGGTATTGTGGGACTGGGTTTATATTGTCAGCTAAAAACAATGTTTCTACAATTTGGGAAGAAAAGGATCAGGATGTTTGGATAGAAAGTCCTTTCATGTGATACAATTGATATATCTGATCTAAGTCTTTGACACAAAGAAAACCATGGATGCATTTAACAAAATCCATACATTGGTTTATATGTCAGTGTTCAGCCAGCCATCTAAATTGAAGTGAAAAAGAAAATATTTAAATGATGCAAAGACTCTCAAGTAAGGGCCTAAATCAAGATTCCTGACAAAAGTAACAAATAGACCATTGGACATTAATGAGATCTCCTCAGCCAGAGTGGATCTTGCTGCATGTTTTTCCCAAAATGCTCCTCATCATGTTTAAAAATAACGTGTTGATCAAGAAGCCTGGAGGAGTTTTGGCTCCAGAATATGCTAATGTGTTCCTCAGAATGATAATTTGACAGAAAAACCTACTCTGCAGGAGATTGTTGACAACATGTGTCTCTTCCTTGTAAACCAGCAACAAAGCTTGTCTCCTGCCCCCTTATATTCCCTCCTTTAGGGGAAACAGTTTAGCCAGACAATTGTTGGACAGGAGTTTTGTGACCGCAACCCACAACTGTCACACACATGAGAGGACCCTCCGCGGATTGTGTACAAAGCTTCATCCAACACTGCAAATACAGTAAGTCTCTTCAAAATATGCATACGGCTGCTCTATTTCCCAAATCAATGTTTAGTGTACAGATATCACACAGGATATGCAATGTGTTTATTATTCATTATCAGTGCTGCTCCAACTCCATGGATTTGGTGCAATACATGTTATTACAAAAGTTACGTTTTCTGCATGATTTTTCTAGCTTAATCCACCTTTAAACCTAAACTGTGTGTGTGTGTTACCTTGTTCCTCCGGTGACCTCCCTGCAGGTTCCTCACTGGTTATCTCTGCAGGCACCCAGAGGCTCTGCAGCAGCAGGGTGAAGGCAGAGAGGCACAGACAGAGCACCAGGCATCCACTAGAGGGAAACAAAACACAGATAAATCACGTCACATGCTGCAGCAAACAGCATACAGCACACAGCACATCAGTGGCTCCAGCTTCTGACAAACGTAAGTACTCCATGTTTCGCACAATTTATAACTGGATTTTGTCATTTTTTGTTGTACATTTTGTACTTTAAGCTAGCCTTTCCGACCATATATCCAATAACTATTTATGTAACTTTTAGCTAACTCAACTTTTCATCCATTACATTTAATTCCCTGCTTTTTTTAACTATCTGCACTTTTCTTTTTACTTTAAATGTCATTCAATGATCAACTCTTTTTGAACTTTGACATTTAAGTTGTCTGCTTACAACTCATTTTTCAAAACATCCAAAATGAAGGTCTTAATATGTGGATTTATTTATTTTTTATTAAATTAGTTAATCTACATTCTCAGTAAGTGCCCAATCTTTTGCATCATATTTTTTTAATAAAAAAAAGACATCAGTATTTTCAGTAGAGTTGGCTTAAACGACTCCATCATTTTATTTTATTATTATGTTTATTGGCCACAAATTGGAGATGACATAAAAGACCACCTTCTAATAATATGTGTCATAACCAACTAGATAAATCTCCTTTAAACATAATATATTTGACTTTAAGAGCGGATCTGATATAATAAAATCTGACAGCCTGACATTGCCTTTTGCCAAATACATTGAGAATGTAGGGAACTGAGTTGTTCCATGACTCCACGTGAGGACCCTGGTGTGTCAAAACAAATATCTGAAGCGTGATGGGACGTTATATCATGCGTCTGCTCCCTGCTTCAGTGTAACTGGGGCAGAGAGAGCCGTCACTTTGCTCTCGCTTTCATCAGGCCAGTAAAACCACCAACCCTCAACCAAAGAAACACGGTGTGGCCAAGCTCAAGAACGAGCACTAAAACATTCAAGTATCTCCTAGACGCCTATAAAGCTCCAGATTCAGATCCAAACCAATTATTTCCTTTTCAATGTATCTGTCTGCATTTCATCAAAGTTGTCAGAGCACTCATCACAACATCATATGTCTTCCGTTTAGGGCATTTACAGCTTGGAAAAGTAGGAGAGCTGCAAAGCTGCACCGGAAATCATATTTTTACTTTACTTTGTAGGTGAGGTCACATGCTTGGGAAGTTAAGCTCCAGGGCCCAGTAGTTCAACACTTTTAATCTCAGATCCGATCCGATCAGATTTTGAAATCCCATTTTTTGTGATCCAGGATCAGACAACTCATAGGATCAACCTGATCCAGATTCAGACTTTTCAAGATTACTAGATCCTGAATATCAGTGCTTTAATCCTACCGATCTCCATCTAGTGGATATGAAAAATAATACAAGGAAGACAAGAGACCACATTGCAGAGACATCTATTGTCCGCAATTACTTTTGAAAGGTGATGACAGATGATGGACTTTTTTTTGGTTGAAGATATTTTTTCTTTAATCTAAATTACATTTGTGCTTGACAATCTTTGTTGTGATACTTTTATGAGCATAAACATTTATGTCATCAACATTTGGTTGGTTGGTAGGCCACCACAAACGTGACCAAAAAATGAAAAATAAAATTGATTTGCCATGAAGGCTAAACATTGTGTATTATTTCAGTTAACAAACTTTGCCATCTTATTTATCCAAATCTGATCCGATCGGATAGGGATTAAAAATGTTTGAACTACTGGGGTGATAACGAATATAATCATGTACTCATGTGCAACGGTTTAAAAAGCTTTCAAAATGAGAATGACATTTGTATTTTTTAAAGTAGGCTAAATAAAGCTAAGTGTCGTTGGTCAGTGCAAGCTGCAGGGAAAGGCTTGGATGGGACACGGATCAGTCACTCTAAACATTTGTACTACTTCCTGGCCGCTGATCCAATGACAAAGGCTTACCTGCGAGGCCGCAGTGCAACATGCATGGCCCTCTGTTTACAGGATGCTGGATCTCACTGTCAAAACAAGGACATTGCAAACTCCTGTAAAGTCAAAATGCTCAGTGATAAAGAGAAAACACAATTGCTCTATTGTTACACAAGTACATTTCCTCTAGTTGGGTTGGCTTTAAGCACCAAAGGAAGTTCCTTTAAATTGCAAATGAATGGTCACACTTTCCACATGAATTGCAATAAAGTCTGAAGGAATAAATAGATTTCAAGGAATGCTATTGCCAGCATGACTGGCCATGAAAGCCTTTTCAGCCTGAGTGTGTAAAACAAGTTCATTAGACTGACAGTAATACTGAACCTCAACAAAACCAAATTTGCTCTCAGTGTCAATGTATGGCAGATAGAGAGATGTCAATAGCTTGGCGCACAAAACAAACCAGCACAGGACACACACACACACAAAAAGACACACACACACATTCTCACCTCCTTGGGTCTCCGTCCCAACCCACTTGCAGCCATCCGGCCCTTTCTCAAAACACACAAACTGAAAAAAAGCAAATAAAGTCTGGGCTGGGAAGTATCTTGCCTCTTTTTTTTGTCTCTTTTCGCTTTTCTTTCCCTCCTTCTCTGGCCGTGCCTTTTCTCTGTCTCACGGCCTATGGGTAGGCATCCTGCCGTTGCCAAGGTAACCTGACTCCCCTTTAAAAGAAACAATACCCAGAGTGCTGCTCAGGCCTTTCAGATACAATGGAGCCCACGCCATTGGGTGACACAGTTTCTTTCAGTCCCGCCGGCTAGACTTAAGCCTCGGCCGTTGAATTGATACTCAAGCAGCGAGCTGATTTAAAAAGCTCAAATGGTTCAAACCTTTGCCACTGAACAGCACAAAAGAGACAAAAGACAGTACAAATGTAATGACAGCAATAATGGTAAACATAATAATAGACCCAAGAAATTACCCAATGGAAACTTTATAGAAAATTAAGTTAAGTTGTAATTCTGACTTACTGGGATATATCACAGTTGTCAAATATTTTAATTAGGGAGTAATTTATTACTGGGGGGTTTATTCTAGTTTTAAGTGCTTGAATTGAAATGTATGCAAGAGAAACTGAGAGGCTTTCACCTCTTTGAATGACAAGTAGGTTTTACTGAGCCAGAATATTTTATTATCAGTCACAATTCTTGTTTTTTTAAATCATGCAAAACTATGAAGCTTCCACTTTTGGTGACAATGCACTTAAATTGGAGCAAGTCTCCCAGGTACCTAAGGAGGGCGCCAAAGTGCCGAGGTGTTTTTGCAGACCAGAAACTGCTGGAATACTACATTAGCAAAGGAAATACAGCTTAACCACAAAAGATTTCTTGAAGCACTGAAAAAATACAACTCTGGTTACTCAAATCAAAGCAAATACAACAAACAATAATTGCATTGTGATCTATTTGCTTCTGAAAAGGGAGATCATGAGAACCAACGTGCAACAGTAATTAGGAGGACCTCAGATCACAGTGTCATACAGCATGCCAAAAGTTTCCACACCACTTAATCTAATTAACAACATCCCGTTTGGATACAGATTGATAGCACACACACGTCATTCAATCAGCTGACATGATGCTACCAAGAAGTGCTCTAATTTAACCCCAATAAACAAGTACGCAGCTACAATATTGAATCCTGATTGGCTGACAGCAACAGCTCCTGTGTGTGAGTTGAGGTTAACCTGCTGAGGCTACAGGAAGTCATTAAACTGCAATTAAACTCATTTTATAAGCCTTGTATAGGTTTATGAAGACGTACGTACCTATGACTTCTTTTAATTATGAAATATATTTGTATTATTTTTTTAGGAATAAAATAATCAATTACTACATCTTTTCTTTTTTAACTTAAAACTAGATTTAAATTCATTTAATGACAGACAAACACAACTAGGCATTTGCAAAGGAGATACGATGCCATTACAGGCGACCACATAATGGCAACGCACATATACATATACTGTATATATATATCATTTAATTGTCTTTAGACATCTTAATGTGGAAATGTTACCTATTATACCGTTAATTGTATTGTACATAGTCCAATGTATTGTGTAACACCCTGATTGAGTTGTGTTCATCCTTATTCTTTCTTATACACAAAACCGCTGGACTCTGGTCTAAGCCATGTGAAATACAGGTTTCCTCAGAACTCACAGGTTACATCTGATATGAAAGTGTTTCAGGTCTTTGTTCTGTGTTGTCTTGTGACATCTAGTGTGTGTGTGTGTGTGTGTGTGTGTGTGTGTGTGTGTGTGTGTGTGTGTGTGTGTGTGTGTGTGTGTGTGTGTGTGTGTGTGTGTGTGTGTGTGTGTGTGTGTGTGTGTGTGTGTGTGTGTGTGTAAACAGGTCGGTGTGCACCACCTAACCTATATGCATGTGTGCACAATTGTGTATGTGTACCTGTGAGATAGCAGGATGGGGTGGAGTTACTGGAGTGATGTCACGCAGCGTGTGTGAGCGAAAAGATTTGATGAGCATAAACCTTTGTAAGCTACGACCTAAAGGCTTACTGGCTTTACACCCATCTGTCTCTTTCTCTTTTTCACTGTCACGCACACACACACACACACACACACACACACACACACACACACACACACACACACACACACACACACACACAGAGACACAAGCACATACACACACGCACACACACACACACACACACACAGAGACACAAGCACACACACGCACACACACACACACACACACACACACACACACACACACACACACACACACACACACACACACACACACACACACTCTGACAATCCATTACTTTATGATTGTTATCATAATCATGTGACATGCTTGTTCTTTTCATTCCAACACACTTTATGGCCTGAAGAGTCGGTTGGCTGTTTAAAGTGGTTGATGGTAGCTATGAGGAGAGGATCTTCAACATAAAACAATAATTAAAATGAAGAATACTGTGCAATATTGTGAGATATGTTTGTGTTACTGTAGGTTGGGAAATAGCTTCAATCTAAATTATGCTAAATCTTTGGCTCAAGCTGATAGATTATGATCACATGTCTATCACACACTACCATATAAAACACAACATTTGTATCACTTTTGCAGTACTAACGAGAATATGAAAAACATCAGCTGTGTTTAAGAGGCACTGGACTAGGCCGATAAACATTTTACCCTGACTTGTTGTGGAAGGCAACAGTGGCTCTACAATTTAATCACCGGTAATAAGTGTCATGTGTTGGGCGGTTGTGTTTTGACGGTTGATTTGAGTGCGGGACAAAGGATGCGTTTGTTGGCCTTGCTAGGGTACTTCCTGTCCTCTCCCAGTGAGACAGAGCATGTCTGCAAGTAAACAAGACAAATCAGTTACTGGGATCTGCCATGCAACCTCATTCTCACAGCACTGTAAGATAACTCCTCGAGGTAAACGATAAAAGGACCAGACTGTAAAACGGGACGTTTGATTATCTTGTGGTATTCCTATAATACTCACTAAAAGCATAGTACTGTAAAATGTGTTATAATTCTTATACTTATGGGGCTAACTAAAGACCCACCTTTTTTATTTGGCTTTGAATTTATTTGTATTTGTTCTTGTTTAATTCAGTCCTGTGTTAATTGACTTCTGTTGATATTAAGTGTTTGATTTACACATATTTGAGTGTTGCTCTGATTATAACCTGGGAGGTGTGTTAGTATTGTCCTTTATCATTCTTTAGTGTTTTGGGGTTTTGAATGATGTTACCTTTTGTGCATGGAAAATTGAACATAATAGTGTTATACTGTGTATTAGACTATAATCTAGTTGTTTATCTTCATTGAAAATCTTAAAATTATAAAACTGTTTTCTTTGAGAAGTTTTTATGAATTAACCAGAGTAGTGGCTGCTATATTTACCCAGCCCACCTGAGCCCCTCTGCAGCAGGACTGTCACCGAGGAGGGAGGCACTGCGCATGCGTGAGGCAACTTAATATGAATACTGCTTCACGTCTCAAGACATCTCACATCCAGGTAAGGATAAGGACAGTTTACTTGTTGTCAGTGATTTATCATTTATTTACCAGTCGTCGGTCATTTTTGGTTGAAGTATTATGTATTCCTGTCGCCGGCTCTGTGTTTCAATGCATCGCTTTTCCACAAATTGAAGCTGAAACCTCCCCACATCATCAAACTCCAAGACAGCCTGCGGACCAAATTCATTTGTGGTTGGTGACATTCATGCTAGCTGGTGCAGCAACGTTAGCAGACATATTTTAATGGGCTGTTTGTCGGTCGATATTTGCATGGCTTCGTGTTATGTTGTCTGGCTGCTAGTTTGTCTGGTGAAGGTTAGCTGCTTACATGCACTGACAGGAGCAGCTTGCTAACGCTAGCAATGCTAACCACCGGCAAGTGTGAATGAAAAAGGGTGTATCAGATTTGCTCGGGCGGTAATATTAAATGACCCGTATGCACAGGCTGCTATCACGTATGGTGGCTAGCTAAGGCTAATAGGTTATTTGACTGAATATACGAAGCTTTGCGTGTATTTGCAGCTGTCAATCCAGTGTGTGGAGACACAACTGTACACACTGACACTGTAGTGTTACCTAGTTACCTACTTAGTGCTCAGGGGGTAAGGTATCAGAATCTGTAACGTTAGCCATTTATGTGCTAATGTCTTTGTATCTGCATATATTTAGCCTACACCAGCATTCCCCTGTCTGTCCAGTTTTAGTAGTGGAGGAAGAGCTTTCTTAAGTCTTGTAGGCAGCTTCCTCCTCCATTCAGTCCCTTAAACATTCATATTTAGTTTGCAGTAGATACATCATCATTTGAATAGTCTTGGATTGTAGCATGTCATCAGATTTTTTTAAATTAATGTAACCAAATGAATGAAGACATGGGAAGTGCTTATTCAATGCAAAATGCAAAATTATATGGTAGTTGCCTACTCCATGACATCTTTCATCTATTGCACAGACATCAGTGTGTGTGTGTGTGTGGATCTTTCTGCTTA